CCAGTCTGTGGATTTCCTTTTTATCTTGTCGGAGAATTTTTTGTTGGGCATAGGGATTTTATTTTGAGAAGACTAAAAGTGCCTGATCCAAGTAAAAAAAAATCTAAAATTATATTCAATGCATCTGAAATTTGAACAATGAATAAGGAAGATAAAAAAAATCATCTATGTCTTTGGATGGTGATGGTAGAGAAGAATATATATACTAGTGAATATTTCATGGACTGCCAAAAGAACAAAGAAGTTTGTTTTGAAGGAAGTGCAAATAGATTACTCCTTAGAAGCAAAGATGGTAAATCTATCACATTCTTTAAACATATTGTCATCAGGGACCAATCTTTAGAAAAAGACTGGGAAAGATGAAGGGTCAGAGAAAGAGAAGAAGACCCTTAACAAGATAGATTGAGCTAGAGAATGTAACTGTATGCTTGAGCACATCAGAGATCCAGAGGATAGCACAATACAGGACAAGGTTCAGATCTGTTCATAGGATCATTATGAGTCATCTTTGTCTTGATGGAACCTAACAATTACAACTATCTGTCTTGAGTATTGCTGTTGCTTTTGTTGTTATGTGCTGTCACTTTTCCTGCAACTCAAAGTGTCTATGTACACCAACTCTGAACTTTGCCCTACCCTGAGCCAACCTTGTTGTCTCTGATATATCTATCCCCATTACCCAGTCACTGAGTCAATCCATCTCATAAAGGATCTTCTTCTCTTGCTCTGTCCCTCCACTGTGACAACCACAATATTCTTCTCCAAAGATTGGTCCTTCCTTGAAACATTCCCAAAGTATGTCAGATGGAACTTCAGAATCTTGGCCTCTAAGAACCTGGTTTCACTCCCTCTAGAACGAACCTGTTTGTTCTCTTAGCAGTCCATGGTATATACAGTACTCTTCTCCAGCACCACAGTTCAAAAGCATCAATTCTCTTCCTATCATCCCTAGACATTGTACAGCTTTCTGATGCATTGCGCATAATTGCAAAGACAATGGCCTGCATGAGGCACATCTTAGTCTCCAGACTGACTGATCATTGCTCTTCAGTGCTCTGGAGATGTCCCTGACAGCAGACTTTCCCAATGTAATTTGTCTTTTGATTTCCTGGCTGCTGATACCAAGAGCGTTGATTGTGAAACCAAGCAAGCTGAAGCAGTTAACAACCTCAATCTGTGGTGAGAATCTTTGTTTTATTGATATTGAACTTCAATCCATATTAAGGGCTGCAGTCCTTGATTGACTGTCACAAGTGCTTCAGGTCCTCCTCAGTTTCAGTAAGTAAGTTTATGTGAACTGCATAACGAAGATTGTTGATGAGTCTTCCTCCAATCCTGATGCCACATTTCTCCTCATAGACCCCAACCTCCTGAATAATGTGTTCCACATATATAGATTTAAAAGGTATGGAGATAGGACATACCCCTGGTATACACTCTTCTCAATTTTAAACCATGCAGTGTTTCCTTGTTCTTTTCTGTTGACTGTCTCCTGGCCCAACTATAGCATTTGCCTACACATAATCAATTGTTCTGGCATTCCCATTCTTCTCAGAGTCAGCCACAATTTGTTGTGATCCACACAGTCAAATACCTTTGCAGAGTCAAGGAAACACATATAGACATTCTTCTGGTATGCTCTGCTTTCAGCCAAGATACATCCAACATCACCTATAATATCCCCAGTACCACAACCCCTTCTAATCCCAGCCTGTACTTCTGGCAATTCAACATTACCTATAATATCCGCAGTACCACAACCTTTTCTAATCCCAGCCTGTACTTCTGGCAATTCTCTGCTCATATGCTGTTTCAGTCATTTTTTTGATAATTTTCAGCTGAATCTTGCTTGCAGGTGATATTAATGATACTCTTCAATAATTTCAACATTCTGTTAGAATGATAACAAATACAGATCTCTTCCAGTCAGTTGGCTGAGTGGTTGTCCTCTAGATTTCTTGGCACAACTTGGTGAGCACATTAAGGGAAGCATCTGTTTACTGAAATGTGTCAATTGGTATGCTGTCAATTCCTGCGGCCTTGTTTTTGTCAATTCCTTCGGAGCAGCTTGAGCTTCTTCCTTCATCACCACAGGCTCTTGCTCATACATTGTTTAATGATATTCATGTGTCAGTCAATTATTTTTGGTACAGTGACTCTGTATACTCCTTCCATTTTCTTTTAATGCCTCCTAGATCATTTAATATTCTCCCCAAAGCATCTTTAAGTATTGCAACTCGAGTCTTGAACTTGTTTTCAGTTCCTTCAGTTTAAGAAACACTGAGTGAGTTGGGTCCTTTGATTTTCTGACTCTAGGTCTTTCACATTTCATTATAATACTTTGCTTTTTCTTACCATGCTGTCCTTTGAAATCTTCTGTTCTGCTCCTTAATTTCTTTATTTCTTCCTTTTGCTTTGGCTTCCTGGAATTCTAGTGCAATACTCAGAGTCTCCTCTGACATGCATCTTGGCCTTTTCTTCCTTCTCTGTCTTTGTACTGATCTTTTGCAATCTTCATGGATGATATTCTCGATATCCTCCTGCACCTCATCTGATCTTCACTAATTAATGTTCAAGGTCACAAATCTACTCCTGAGATGGGCTTGGTAGTTAATAATAGTTTAAAGAAAACCTTTTCCCACAACATATAGGAGGTAAATAATCATACTTACACTTTATTAAAACAATCCGGAGTATATTGATTATTTTTAAAAATTGAATGAAGAGTAGCAAAGATAAATAGTAAGAATAAGATAATAATAGTTTTGAAATATTTCAACTCTATAATAAACACTCAGGATTAAGGTAGTACTGTGAAGAAGAATACAAAGGATTACATTAACAGGATGTTAAGTGTTCAGGAATGCAAAAGCTAATGCTAATCTTAAATTGGAAGTAAAGAGTAAGAAGAAACATATGTCTAGAAATGGATTCAAATTTGTAGGAGAAAGTGAAAATAATGAGCACAACTTGTAAAATCTTGAACTTTGTTTGTCTAAAAGATATTCAAGACAAAGTAAGATCCCCAAAATAAGAATGTCCAATATAAAAAACAATTATTGTTGACCATTGCTATATAATACAGAAAAGAAATAAAAATTTTATGATTATCAAATGCATTTAAAATAATTTTCTATGAGAAACAGAAGAAAAGCCTATATTTTCATGTATTTTAATATTTAAATATTAAATACAATAGTTCATTATTGTTATGTGCCATCAAGTTACCTTTAACTCATAGTGACCCTATGTACAACAGTTCTGAAGCCTGCCCTGTCCTGAGCCAGTCTCAGTGACTCTGACACACCTATCCCCCATTGCCCTAGTCACTGTATCAGTCCATCTCATCTGGGGTCTTCCTCTTTTGCACCGTCCCTCCATCCTTCCGAGAATGATGTCCTTTTCCAAAGATCGCTCCATCCTGGCCACATGCCCAAATTCGGTGAGACAGAGTTTCAAAATACTAGCCTCCAAGGAGAAACTTGGCTTCACGTTCTCCAAGACAGATCTATTTGGTTTTTAGGCAATCCATAGTATGCTCAAGACTCTTCTTTAGCACCAAGACTCAAAGGCATCAATTCTTCTTCTGTTGTCCTTAGTCAATGTCTAGCTCTCTGATGCTTAGCCAGTAATTGCGAAGAACATGGTATGGATCAGGGCCATCTTAGTCTCTAGACTGAAATTGCTTCTCAGTACTCTGGAAAGATCCTTGACAGCAGATTTACCTAATGCAATTAATCTTTTGATTCTCTGACTGCTGGTGCCAAGAGTGCTGGTTGCGGAGCCGAGCAAGCTGTAACTGTTAACAATCTCAATCTCTTCTCCATCCATCATGGTGCTAACAATTGACCCAGTGGTGAGAATCTTTGTCTTTTTTATATAGCCAGTTTAAAAATATTCCAAGACTACCACAGAGAATATTGACTACCATCCTATGTGAAGTATTCATTACCTATTTAAACTAATATACATATAAACTGGCATGCTGGAATTTTCTTAATAAAGAACCTTTGTTAGCTTTTTTGAGAAGCTCTCTACTAGAAGAGTGCCTGGGCAGGGAAAGCCAGGAAGACAATAGAATGGTTGATCCAAAAAGAATTTATTGAAAGAGAATATCATTTCAACAATGTATGCAAGGCATGTTAATTAACATCAGTTACAGCTAGGTTTTAGGGGAATTAGCAGTTGTTATTGTTGTTAGATGCTGTTGAGTTCAGTACGACCCCTCTTTGGACAAGAGATCTGAACTCTGTATCCTATCTTGTGCTATCCTCACACTTCCCTGACACATTAGAGACCACTGTGGCAGTCAAATCATGTCAATCCACTTGGTCAAAGGTCTTTATCTCCTTCTTCAACCCTTTGTCTTTATTAAGTGTTTGTAATTATTTTTCCTCATTGCAACTGATTTCTAATCTAGGCTCTTATAGTACCCTAATATAACTAACTATCTGCATTCCTCTACTGTTCATAGCATTTTCAGAGACCTGTTTATTTAAGAATTAGATGATCAATCCCACTTTCTAGTCTGTCTTAATCTGGGAGCATTACTAAAACTTGTCTACTATGGGTAACCCTATGACATTTGATACACCAGTGGCACAGCTTTCACTATCACAGCAACCCACAAATCATCTCAATACAGCAAATTGACAGACAAGTGCTGTACCAATTAGAACAATGTTCTCCCCAAACACAACAATCTGCCAGTTTAGTTTGTAACTCTAATAGCAAGTTAGTCTTCACACCAGGCCTGAGGGCTACAATACCAATAAAAGATACGTGGTTGAGATATGTATAGTAAGGTTGAATGGAGCAAATAGAAGTTGATTGGCATTAATGTGCTTTGTGCTTGCTTCTCCACTAACCAGGAAATTGCACAGGAAATCACTTTTGTATTTATTTCTTTTGAGGTTATAAACTAGCTATAATTCTGATATTCACCATACTAAATGTTTATTATTGTTCCAAACAGATGGGACAGAACACAATAATCAAGGATGAAGAATCAAACAGCATTAACAACTTTCATCTTGCTGGGACTGATAGATGACTCACGACTTCAAATTCTGCTTTTTATTTTTCTATTTCTTTCCTACACATTAAGTGTAACTGGAAACCTAACTATAATCACTCTCACTTTGCTAGATTCTCACCTTAAAACACCAATGTATCTTTTCCTTCAAAATTTTTCCTTCTTAGAAAATTCATTCACAACTGCTTGTGTTCCCAGATTCTTATACAGTATGTCTTCTGGGGACTGGTCTATTACCTATTATGCCTGTGCCAGTCAACTCTTATTTATAGATCTCTTTGCAGTAACAGAATTCTTTCTGCTTGCCACCATGTCCTATGATCGTTATGTGGCCATCTGCAAAACACTACATTACACAACTATCTTGAGCAGCAGAGTATGCAAGAACTTCATCCTCTTCTGTTGGGCAGCAGCATTGATGATCATTCTACCACCAGTTATTCTGGGTTTGGGCTTGGAATTCTGTGATTCTAATGTTATTGATCACTTCTGCTGTGATGCCTCTCCTATCCTAAAGATTTCTTGCTCAGACACATGGCTATTGGAACAAATGGCTATTGTGTGTGCTGTGCTGACATTCATCATCACTCTCTTGTGTGTAGTTCTTTCGCATACTTATATCATTAGGACAATTCTTAGATTCCCTTCTACCCAACAAAGGAAAAAGGCATTTTCCACTTGTTCTTCCCACATGATTGTTGTTTCCATTACTTATGGTAGTTGCATCTTCATTTACGTTAAACCTGCAGCCAAGGATGAGGTGGCTATTAATAAAGGGATTTCGCTTCTTGGGCACCTCACAG